ATTCGAAGATAGTAAATTCTCAAAGAACTCTCCGTCAGTGGATTCAATAATCACACTGGTATCCAAATTTAACAATCTATATGAGTTGCAATTACTAGCATATCTAATAAAGTCAAATTCAATGCCTCTTGGTCCCAACTTGTTCTTATTCGGGTTTGTGTTCTTACAATAAGCTAGACACCTCCACACTTTAAAGAATCCAATGCTGAGTTTTCTTCCTTTCCACAATTCATAAGAAGAAACCTTTGTACAATTAAAAGTAATTCTATTTAATATTGTACATGCACTCAATGCTTCACACCACAAATTAAATGATAATTTAGCATAGGTTAACATGGCATTATCATTTTAACTAAAATTCTATTTTTCCTTTCAGCCAAACCATTTTGTTCGAGTATCCTAGGTGCAAAACATTGATGAATTAAGCCTTGTTGTTTACAAAACAGGTTAAAATCACTAGAAAAATATTCATATCCTCTATCACTTCTTAGAATTTTTATTTTCTTGCTTAGGTGATTTTTAACTTCATTTTTATATATTTTAAACATATTAAAGGCTCCGTGTTTATATTTCATCGAAAGTAAACATATGTATATCTAGTGTAATCATCAATAAAGGTAATAATACATATTTCCACCTCTAGTCAACATGCCATTTAATTCACCTATATCCGTATAAATTAATTCTAAAATACTAAGTTCTTTTTACACTTTGATAATGTTTTTTACTCATCTTAGATTTTATGCATGTTTTACATTTAAACGAATTATTTTCGTTGTAAGATATTAAGTCGCATTTCAACATTCTTTTCATTGTACTTTTAGCTACTAATCTAACCTAGCATGCCATAATGTAAATAACTCAACAATATAAGTAAAATCAAATTTATTATTAATCATTTTGTCAACAGTACACAATTTGGCTATTCCTTCACAAAAATAGCATTTTCCAACAAATTTTTCATTTAGGGATAGTACAAGATTGTCAGACTCATAAAAACTTTTTATGCTCGACTTTCCTAAAAGATTACCACTAACCAAGTCCCTATTTATATCGGGAACATGTAGTACATTTGTCAAGGTAACAATCTTGCCGGAAATGAAGATGATCTCTACATTTCCTTTCCCTACCGTCGTGGAGCGGATTTTGATACCCATTTGTATCTCTTAAATAAAGACTTGTCATATGATATATTCACAATTGCACACGTATCATATCACCATCCAGGGACTTTTCCTTTGATTGCGTTAATCTCGCTTATGTTGGCCACAATGTCGTCTTCTTTGCACCTTTTTCTTTTGGAGTTGTTTCGTTTCCGATGTCAACATTCATTTGCATAATGTTCAGGTTTCACACACAAAACAACCACCTTTGGTCTTCTTCTTAGCTTGTTAACATTCTTTGAAGGCTTTTTCTTATTGGATTTATTTGAAGGTTCATCTTCCTCTACAGCATTGCATTGGAAGTGCCTTCATAATAATTGTTATTTTTATCTCTCACTCTTGACTCTTCTTCAGTTCGAAGATGTTTCAGCAATCGTTCCAAAGAGTATTCTTCGGAATTATGCATAATTTTCTTCCGATATCCTTTCCAAGTATCTAGGAGTTTTGCAATAATTACTCCAACTTGGATTGTTTCTGGGATCTCAATTTTGACCGTCTTTAACTTGTTAACAAGGACTTGTAATTCATGCATTTGGGGAAGAAGGGGAATACTATCTAGAAATTTAAAAATTAAAATATTTTGAAATTAAAAATTCCTTGGTACCTTCTTCTTCGACTTTGTACTTACTTTGCAAAGCATTTCAGATTTTTTTTTTTGCCAAGGATGTGTTGGTGTATAGATCATACAATCGGTCTAACAGAGCGCTAAGAATATGGCCATGAGATATAAGTTCATTTTCTTGGCGCTTTTGTCTTTCAACTTTTATGGCATCTGCTCGTATATTTGTTAGTTCTGGTAACGGTGCCAATTCCAAATTAAGTATGTAAAATATCTTCAACATTATGAATAGAAATTTCAATTTATCTTGTCATCTCGTGAAGTTTGTGCCATCAAAACTACCCAAACGAACAAGGTCGTGATTCATTAACTTAATCGTCGCCATAGTGGTTCATTCTCCATTGCAGAAATATTGTTTGAGATTGTTGGAAAATTATGACTTCCACAAAAGGGATGGAGAAGAAATAAAGAACGAGATCAAGAAGCAAAATGATTAGCAAAGAAATGAATGAAGACTAGAGCACGTGATCATTGTCCTTAAATGATATTATACCCCTCTCAGATTAAAAATTTGGTACTTAAAGGAATTATAGGCAAACGATTTGCAAGTTTTATCAAGACTTGAAAAGGATTTAACATTTAAGCACTAGTGAAAATCCTCCAAAACCTCAAAAACACAAAACCAAAAATTTGAATATGAGAGAAGGAAGTTTTGATCTCATTTTCTTGTGGAATGAATTTGTTTTCAAAAAATGATTCTCATATATTTGCCCTGACCACTGATCATCTATTTGTATGCCTCAATCAATCCATACAAATTGATGCCATAAACACTCAAAAAGTTGCAAGACAAACTCCAACAGCCACCAAGAATTCAAACAAAAAATGGTCATAAACGGCTATAAACTTGTTCTATGCAGCCACATAGAACAATCCTATGTGGTGCATAGATCAATGCCCTATGGGGCTATGAATCTCTGTAAATTGCCATGCGACCGCAAGCCCCTTTAGGCCAATTTTCCGACTTTTGATTCTATTTTTTTTATTCCACATTCTTTTATTGATTTTTTTGAGCTACCATACAACAGTCTTGACTTTGGAGAATACCATAGAAAATTTGGAGATTTAAAGTATCTAGTTTTTGAAATTAAAAAGCTGGAAACTCGTGATCCAAAAGACTAAAAGTTCGTGATTCATAATTAATTCAAGAATTGATCATCGAATTTAGGTAAAAATTTGAATCCTTTATTCTTAATATAAAATACGCATGACCATCTAGATAATATTATTTATTAAATTCAAGAAATTTTTTTACTTGCTGGATAATTCCGCTTCCGCATTCTAACAAATGTATCTAAAATTGTACACATTATGTTTTTTGCTATTTTCTTTTGTTAATTAATTATTATAGTTTACTAATTTAATCATAGTTTATCTGTAAAAAAAAATTTATATATAATTTAAACATTTCAAGTAGCACATTTTAACTTATAAGACATATTAATAAAATATATTTTGATTAGATTTCTGTTCGACAATATTAATCCAATGAATGAAGTAGTGCCTTGTAGGTTGAACTACAGACACGATGTTTGTTTGATAAAATTTCAACCGGTCAAACTTTATTTTTAATACATTTCATATTATCCACAATTTTTATTAACTTTTCATCCACGCGTTTCATTAATTTTTAATAGAATCTATTAAAACTTTATCAAGCAACCCCTTAGTGTTTATTGGGTCAATGAGTACGACAATTTTGAAAATTATGAATGTTATTTCAACGACTTCAAATCATATTTTAAGACAAGAAGAATCCTCTCTCCCATTGCCTTGGAAAATAAAGAGGTTAGGTGAGAAGCATAAAAATCTCATTAACCAAAGAAAATCATATAAGAAATATACTGAATTATATAGGACCTACTTTCTCTGTAGAATTTTTAGTTTAAAAAATTCCCTCTAAATTGGTCTTCATTTAATAACGCAATATAGCTTAAGGTTGTTGGAGGTGATTTTAAAATATATATATTTGACATAGTCTAATAGTTTAAGTTTTTAAATCAAATGGTACAATATGATATTATAGCAAATACATATTTTAAGTTCAAATTTTGTGGTCATCCATTTATTAAAAAATGTATATATGTGAAGTTTTAATGAAAAAATAATAATAAATTAATAATCCCATTTACACGTGAAAAACCTTGTTAAAAATAATCTGCATATATGTTTGACCTAGTCAACAACTTAAACTTTATTTAGGGTCTGTTCGGTAGTAATTATGATAATTGATTTTTAATTGTTAGAGACAAATGGATCTCATCTGTGAATGAAGAAGTAAAAAATAATGGCTCGAATGGTGAAATAACGAACAAAAAAATGATTTTTGGACTGCAAAAATTGCTACCAAACGAGGCATAATCTTTTCAACATCAAAATATCCCCACATTATGGCATTTTACACGCTAAAAGAGACTTGAATAAAAACTAGCCAAGTCGTAAATCATGATGGTCAAAATCGTTTTGTGTGGTGCACAATTTGCTGGTAGAAACATACAAAAAAAAAAAATTTATTTTTTTCATTATAAACAAGACGTGCAAGCATTAGTATGATCCAACGATGATTTAAAAATATGTATAATTTGAAAAAAATAAAATAAAAAATATTGCAGTCTATATTTAATTCTGGTAACAAAAACTTATTATCAATTTTTAGTTTTCTATTAAGTAATGTTGAGTGATTAGACCTCTTAAATGTAAGAATATAAATTTATTTGGGAAAAAATGTTTTTGCAGGCAAATGTTTACTCTTTCAATCTCTATTTCATTTGTAGGGTATGATCGCGACTTCTCTCAATAGATGAATTGATTTCTGATTCATTTCGCCATCCCGATTAATAAATCATTGAAATTCAATTTTCAATAAAATCTTTTGCATGCGCAAGTCGATATTTCTTAAAGAAAGCAGTTGCAGCCTTGGAATGTTAACTTGAAATTGAATAATCGAAGGCGGATACAATATTATAAGAGAAGAGAGCTCATAAATTTATTTACGATGTTCTTAATTGACACTTAAATTACTGATCAATCATAAACTGTCTAGATCATACATAATTCGTCCAATTCAATTCAAAGTTGGAAAAAGTGTTGTAATACGTCAAGTAAATAAATATCTTTATTTGTGGGCCACAAACCCACGTGTCCATGGAATTATTGTTAGCCACCTTACACTTGACCAAAAATCTAAAATTTTCTTTGTTATAAACGTGTGTGTGTGTATATATATGTATTGTCTACCACTGTTCAATGAAAAACAGAGAAACAGAAACGAAGAAATGGCTATTTCATCCAATTGCTGCCTCAATCTATTCCCTCCAACTAGAAGTACTTCAAGACCAACCCGAGATGCATGGTGAGCAAGTGTTTATGATATAAGTATTTGATTTACTTGTCATCAAGCACTCGATAAATAAAGTATTGTTGTCAATTAATTTCATATCGTTCACTTCTCCGTCAATATATTTTTAATTGTGTTTAATTACTTAGATTGCCTCGAAAATATTAATGATACACTTGTTATGTAGAGCTAACTAAATCTCTCTTCCTTATTTTTGTGCGATCAAGCATATATATTTGGTGTTGCTCAAGTCCCAACCTCGATGATAAATACAAGCACATTTATGTATATTTGTTATATTGGACCAACCACAATAGTCGATAGATTAGTCGTGGATCTCTCTTCGTTATCTATGTTTAGTTCGACATAACAACATATGTATCAGGTCTTATGTCTTAATGCCTGTCAAACCTTTTTTTCCCCCCCTTTTATGCAGCCCTCAAAAGGAAAGATCATGGAAAAGCCAATGCATTTTAGGGTTAACATGTGTAATAATTGGACAAGAAATGAGCAATTTGGAAGGATTAGGTGCCATGGCCGCAGAGGAGAAGCAATTAGCTGTGGAGTCTAAAATCAAAGTTCAAAGATGGAGTGATTTAGGAATGTGCCAGCCATGGCGTCGAAATTCGTTTGAGATGATTGTGCCAGAGAATCTCCCGCGGCCATCGGCACGACGACGATGGGAGACGGTTGATTTTTCTAAAACTGCACCGACTTTGCAAGTTGTTACAAAAAAATCTGTTACTAAAAGTTGTTTTTCGTTATAAATTTATGTACTCTCTCAATAAAACATAGACTTCATAACCCTATCAATAAAGAGTCGTGTGGGTCGAGTTGAGTTGACTCGTCTGTAATCTTTAGGCCGTGTTTGATTATAATTTTTTCCAAAATATATTTTTTTTCATTTTCTTTTTAATCATACATTCTTCAACAAAATAATATTACGAACAAATTCAATTTTTTTATTTTTTGAATTATACATTTATTGATATACTATTTTAAAATATAATTTTTCAATTGGAGCTCAAACATTCCTTAACAAACACGATCACCACTTGTACTAAAATAATATTATTCATTACGAAATAAAACCCGAAAAATGGATGCAGTACATGTAGTACAAAGAAATGTTGTACCTAAAAACAAAATAAAAAGAGAAAGTACTATTAGGAAAGTACAAGTCAGTATTGGCATTACACGTGGCAGCTAACGAATGGACTCGTCTGGTCCCCCATAGGCCACGATCCTACAAGCTTGATCTGACATGTCAAAAATAAATTTTGATTTAGGTTATGCCTGTTTATTTTCCATTAATATAAAAATGAGAATGAAAAATAAAATTGTTAAGAGCCCTATATAAGAGATAGAATTCAAATATAGTGGTTTGATGTGATGGATAATAATCACATTTTTCATTTTAATGACCAAATAATTGAAAATAAACAAGGGCTATACTTTTGATATTAAATTTTATTTTATCGTCCAAATAAATAAGTTATTAATGTTAAATTTTTATCAACTGTAAAATTATTTTATTTTAAAAGTTTTTATTTCATTACCAGTAATGTTTTGAGCTTTGTCAAAGATGCTCATTGTAGATATTTTTCGATTGAAAATGATATTAAATATGAACATCTTTGATTTTAATTTATTATTCGAAATTGAACATTATTACAAAACTATGATATATATTAGAGGAATTGTGTTATGAATAATAAAAACAATAAAAATTAAACAATTGAATGAATACTAATAACTTTATCTTGCATATATAAAGAGCGAAAGATGTGCCAGAATACGTGTCGCAAATATGTATCGTCCTCCAATTTTATTTTATTTTTTTTCATTTCCTTATCTGAAAATGATGTATTGTGTTGGGCCCATTGGAAGGAAGCGTGAGGCAGTCTGTTTTAGTACTACTTCTCCATTTTTTCACTCAATCTATTATTTCTGCACTACTCTTCTTCGTCTTCTTTCCCTTCCCGTCTTTGAAATCTCGAATTCGAGTTGCAGGCCTAAATTGTACGTTGGACGGGCTTGATCAGTTTGTTTTATTTAAGGCCATTACTTTCTTTTTATTTTTTATTTTTTTATTTTTTTGGTCTAAAATCAATCAAATTTAAAAAATTTAATTTAGTTGGATTTGACAAGCAGAGAAGTTCATATATATGGTCTCCGCGATGCGCGAAGTTACTCTCCACGCATCGTGAAGATGGTCCACGCAACGCGAAGACGTCTCCAAGCTGTGCGGGGTCCGTGCTATGCGGAGACCCGTCTCTGCACAGTGCAGAGATTGTGATCTTCCTCTTCGAAGGCTTTGAGTAATGCTACAATTGCAACTGTAGGGAAATTTTTTTTGTGCTTGAAAGGAATTAATAGTTGATAAAACCAACTTTTGTAATTCTTAATTTTATTTTTAATATTTTTTTGGTTGTTATGCGGAGACCTGTCTCCGACAGTCTGTGATTTCTGTGGAGCAAAGAAATTAACAGAGAAAGTAAATGTTTCTATTGTTCTAATGGAACCATTCAATTAAAAATGAATTATATATCTCTAGAATTGTATGATTTATTTATATCCCCATCTGATAAATCCGTTGAATTTAGGACTTATATTCTAAGTTACAATTGTAATTTTTCATTTACTTAATTTGGTGTCAAATATGATGAAGACTTGTGTTGAAGAAACAAAGGAATATACGCTTTTAGAGTTCAGTGGGCAAATATATCATTACCTGAATGAATTTCTTCCAATAGATTCTAAACCTTCTTATTTAAAACTCTATTTTTACAACACTGAAAATGAGATACAGAATCGATTAAAATTATTAGATCAATTATCTCTATCAATTATTGAGAAATTTGTTCAGATCTTAGAGATTAATCCTTATTCAAAATTCTTTCGAAGTTTAACTAATATTCCTGATTTACAAAGTCGTCATATAAAAATTATATCCACTTTCAGTATGGATCAAAGAGTTTATAATGCTCCAACAACATCACAAGTTGTTGCTGTTTGGGTAGACGATGGACCATCAGAAAATGTTGGAACCCGTGATATATCTATTTATGCTCATTTGGTAGTAAACATAAAGAAAACTATTATTTTGGATGTTATGACCCTCTCCAACACCCTCTGTTATTTTCCAGTGGTGAGCATGGTTGACATCAGAGTATTCAAAGAGTTACTAAACTGCATAAATATGATGATAATTCTTGTGTAGAACCGTTGATTGATGCACATTATGCTGATTCTCCACTTGAACAATGAAATGATAGGTTTGAAAATGAGTTATTGTTTTATTTTAAGATTTTCAATTACTTTATTTTTTAGTCACATTTAATTTCTTTAATGCATGTTCAGTCCTGCAGAAAAAGCAAAAACGATGCTAAGTCTCGTCGTAAGTATTATTGCTATAAAATACATGTAAGATCGCTAAATAACTCGATCTTGTTACGTGCTAGTCGACTTTTCCAACTATATGCAGTTGACATGTATGTTAAAGTTGAATCTTTCAGATTAGATTATTTTCGTAACGATTAGACATGAATACGAAGTGAGCTTTACCAAGAAATTGTTGATAGCGGACAAAATGGAGAAACTAGAGGGTCGAATGTAGGTAGAAGGATTATTTTACCATCCTCATTCATTGGTGGTCCTAAAGATTTGAATAAAAGATACATGGATGTGATGGTATTAGTTCAAATTTTGGAAAGCCTGATATTTTTTTAACCATTACATGCGATTCCAATTGGCCTAAAATAAAGTGAGAATTAAAGTATTGTGATGAAGTTCAAAACAAACCTGATTTGGTGTTACAAATTTTTAGAGCAAAGTTAGAAGAGTTAAAAACAAATTTATTCAAAAAAAAAAAATCTATTTAGCCGTGGTTGTCAAACATGTGATGCATGGTCTCTGTGATTCTTTAAATCCAAATAATGTGTGCATGCAAAATGGTGGAACCTGTAGAAGTCATTATCCACATAAGTACAATACACAAACTTCTTTGGACAAAACTTCTTATCTGAAATATAGAAGGCGAAATGACGACAAGAAAGTTAAAGTTAGAAAACATTTCCTTGATAATAGGTGGATTGTACCTTATAATTCTTATCTATTAGCTAAATATGACTGTCATATTAATGTGGAAATATATTCAACAATAAAAGATGTTAAATACTTGTACAAATATGTTTACAAATGACATGACAAAGTGAATTTCTATGTGAACAATGACAGTGAATATGATTGTATGGATGAAATACGAAAATCTTAGTCTGGTAGACGGATCTCTCCCCTGAAGCAATGTGAAAGATATATGGCTTTACTATGTATAAAATGTATCTAGCTATTATTTTATTGTTGCATCCAGAAAATTAGCAACTAATTACATATAAATTTACTTGTGATCTTTCTAGAGTTATAGACAACAATTTTTTTTTTCAAAAAAACAGTGTTAACTGAATTTTTTACAACGAATGCTATAAATGAAGAAACAAGAAAACTATTATATAGAAAATTCCCTGAACATTTTGTGTGCAACGGACAACGTAAGAGCTGGACTATTAGAAAAAAATTGGTGTTGTGGTTGGAAAGATTGTATCAGTGAGTCCAAGTGAAGGTGAAAGATATTACTTGCGAATATTATTAAATCATGTTAGGGGATCTCTATTTTTTATAGGTCTGAAATTTGTCAATAGCATTTCTATAAAAACTTTTCGTGAAACTGCATTATTACTAAGTTTACTTGGAGGAAATAATAATTGCGAATTGTTCTTACAGGAAGCTTGTACTTATCAAATGCCAAATTCATTACGTCGTTTGTTTGCAACTATTTTAGCTCTCCATTGTCATTATGATCCAAAAAAATTATGGAACCAATTTAAAGAATTTATGTTTGAAAATTATTTATGGGAATGTGAGTTTACATGATGCGGAAGTAAAAACGTAACAGTCTATAAATTCATTTTTAGAATCATTCGAAAAATCTTTAAATGATTATGGATTAGCTCTTTATGATATTGATGTCCAACAAAAGAAAATATTAGAAAGAATGGTTAATGAAAAATTGGGATTATTAATATTTGAAGTTGATCTTTTGTGTGTAGATAAGCTTAACCAGGAGCAAATAGCTGCTTATGATGCAATATTGAATAAAGTTTTCCATAATATTGATGGTCTAAGTGGAACAGGGAAAATGTTTTTGTATCTTGTATTGCTTGCAGCTGTTAGATTAAGAAATTTGGTTACTTTAGCAACTACATCTTAGGGATGGGCTGGTATTTTATTGCCGGGAGGTCGAACAACACTTCAAAGTTTAAAATTTATATTCATAATGATAGTATTTGTTTATTATGTAAACATTCTGCTCTAGCTGATCTGCTTAGGATGACATGTTTAATTATTTGGGATGAAACTCCAATGACAAATTCTCAAGCTGTTGAAGTTTTAGACAAAATTATCATTTGGTGGAAAGGTAATAGTTTTGGGTGGAGATTTTCGTCAAATTTTACCTGTTGTTCAACGAGGGAGTAAATAGGGCATAATTGCATCAAGCTTTGTTAACTCTTATCTGTGGTCCCTTTTTACAAAAGTCAAATTACTTCAAAGTATAGGAACACTATTAGATCCTCATTTTTCAGAAAATTTACTTCAAATTGGCAATGGAATAGAAAACAAGCACTCCTGTGGTATGATTAAGCTTTGGTCTCATACGACTCTAAGTTATGAAGAAGATGACATGTCGTTACATAAACTAGTTGATCTTCTATTTCCTAAAAGAATCGACTATTCAAAAAATCTCTAGTGTATGATTAATCATGTTATTTTAGCGCCAAAAAATG